AAAAAAAAAAAACCGTCCGGCCGCCGGAACCGGACGACTTTTAGACCCTCCGTCCGCCGGAACCAGACGGCTTTTAGCCCGTCCGGCCGCCGGAACTGGACGGTTTTTGTGCCGTCTGAACCGGCCGGCCGGATGGGCTAAAAGCCGTCCGGATGGTTCTTTTTTTTTTACTTTTTGAAAAAAATGCCAGGGGCAAAATTGTCCAAGGGGGGGCGGTAAGTAGTAATAGGGGGGGCGGTGAATAGCAATTGAGATAAAAAAACACTCAAAACTAAACTAACTAACAACACAAACAACTACAACAAACTACAAGGACCCCAACAGGGTAATACCCGAGTGTCGGATCCCAACAGGATAATAAGTTTGACACTCGGGCTCACAGGGGCCAACGACCCATACCAAAAACACAATACACTCGCATCACAGATACAGACACATAAACAAAAACACAAAAACAATAACATAAATAAACTAAAATAAATCTAACAGCCCTTCCTCGGCGAACGAGCTATCCCGAACCAGCAGTGAACGATTGACACAAGACCAATCCAGGCCAAGAACCTACTACCGAAACTGCAATCAAGCCTATACACCAACAGAACCCTCACCCCGAACCAGTCCCAGAATCGACCCATCGAAAACTGAGAGAGCTCATAATCCACCACTCCGAACTCTTCTAACACCACTAGACGAGGTCGATGGAACCTCCCCCACCGCCTAACACCACTAGGCAAACGGAGGATTGAGCAAGAGGAAACGACCCTTCCCCCGACTGCCGCAACAAGGAACGCCACGGAAATTAGAGTCCCGCTCCTCCCAATGACTCGCACTCCACCCGTCACCACCACGGACAGCCAATGACAAGTAGCGGGCTCCACCAGAAAAGTGAAGTGCCACCGGAAAGCATCAATACCCGCAATCGCGGACAAAGGGCAGAAAATAGAGCTAACTGTCACAAATCGCAGCACCTCCGGTGACTGAAAGGAGATTCAGATCGCCGGCCTTACTTCGACCTCGAAGTGCGCCACCGCCGTCCTGAGCTCCATCTGCAACCGTGAACTTGACGCTCCGTCAACGGCCATCTGAAGCAGCAAAAGGGGCGCGCATCGCCAGGGGAGGAGCGAACGGTGGATGACGACCACTAGCCGAGCTTTCCCGTCGCCGTGAAAGGAGGATTCGCTGTAAAGAATAGAACCTGCAAGAGAAATTGGGGTTGCGTCGCGAGAGAGAAATTGGGGATCTTTTTTTTTGGCTGAATCTGAACAATCGTTATTTGATATGCATAAAAAAAGTGTATCTATAAATAACTAACTACATTTTACGAAAAAAATAAAAAACAAAAAATCTAATCTAATCAATTCTAGACTGCTATTCATAAGAAGTGTGCATAGATAAATAATTGGATTTACTATAAAAACATCCACACACACACATATAAAATATATAAAAGTTTGTATTTACTTGAAATATGATCTAAAATCCCGCCTACAAATTTTAGAATTACTAAACTTGGTTTTTTATAAAAAATTATAAAAAAATCCCGCCTCTAAAAATTAATTAATCAATTTCTGGTACAAATTGGCAAAATTAATAAATATGATTTTGGAATATAGTGGACGATTTTATTTTAGTATGAAATGTTGAATTTAAATGATATGAATTTACTTGCTATGGATAGAAATGTAATTGGAAATTTGGAAAAAAAAAAAAATAACTGATATTAATTTTATTTGGTATGGGTATGAAAGACGAATTAGTTGATTTGTTACAAAATCAAAGTGAAGTGATTTTCTAATTTAGAATTGAATTGGTCTTTGCAAGCTATAAAATTTTGAGTGAATTCATTTGTAAGTAGATACATGTAAACACTTTGAGTCAAAAAAATATTTATATATCAAGTTAGAAGATATATTATCAAAAATAAGTTGCAGGACGTTGATTTATATATTCCATAAAATTGATTAAATTTATTGTTGTCCACCATAGTTTAAGAAGTTAAAACAAAAAAAGAAGTAAAACATTCAAGTAATGGTTGAACAACTATAATAGCTTACCGCAAAAAATACAACACCTAAATAAAATTTTATTTTAAATACTCTTACTAATGTTTTTACTCATTCTATCAACTTTGATTCAAATATATAAATTTGTCGAAATAATTATTTTATGGAATCACATTGTAGTCAAATCGAATTTTGATAAAAATTTTAAAATGACAATTATTTTGAAATGAATATAATGTAACTTATTATAAGTTACGTGTACCGTACGGGTTGTGCACTGATTTTAAATAGACATATTTTATGTAATTGTGCACAATATAAATTTCATATAACATTTTTAATAAATTAATATAGGTAATTTATATTACATATTGATTCCCTACTTAAATTATAAATATTATTTAATTAATATTTTAAGTTATAAATATTAATGAATATCTCTTATCCGTGCATCGCACGGGATTCGTACTAGTATATATATAATAAGAATTACCATTTTTTAAAAATAGTAGGTCAAATGCAGGTTAACTAAGTTAATATTAAATACTTACCAATTTGGGTAAGTTTCATAATTATGGGCCACCAATTACGGTCAGCATTAAATTCCCCTAAAATTATGGGTTTTGCCATACTAATCGATTTCCATATTTTATCTCAGGCTTAAAAATCGCAAAGGATCATCGGGAAAAAGAAAAAAAAAATCAAATTCGAATTCAAATGGAAATTATTGAAGAATGAGAGAAAATCGGACGAGATTATTTTGAGCGGTCGAGGTTCCCACGTAAATGAACCAAACCCTACAAGTAATAAAATTTTATTTTCAAAATTTTTTTATTATTTAATTTGTGAAAAAATAATAATATATATTATTTTATAACAATTCTATTATACTATTTACAAGTATTCCTTTTTATTATATTAAAAATGTTATTGATTTATAAGTAATTTGTAGACAAACATTTAATATGTAAGAAACAAAAGATTTGATTTTTATTATTTACTATGTATATGAAGAATTATTTATTATCTACCAACCAATATTACTTAATCTAATAAAAACAAACTATTACTTAATACATATCGACAAACATTCAATTGTTAGTATAATTATATTATTTATTTTTTAATGTCTTTCTAATAATATAATATATTTATTGCATATTTAGTTACATAAAGTTAATTTTAGTATTTGCGCAAAAAGATTTTTTTAGTAGATATAAAAATAATTGACCAATCAATATTGTGTAGGTATCTTGGCATCATCTTCCTATAATGGATGAGATAATGATGGTGATAGGATATTGGTTCCTCGAATGATGCTTACCTCTTCCGATGTGAGGATACCTTTCAAGTTCCAGAGATAACAATCACTTATGGTTTCTTATGCTATGACGATAAATAAGAGTCAATGTCAATCTTTATCTCACGTTGGTCTGATGAGTCCGTTTCCCCACTGTGAATCGTTAGGGTGTGAAATATTAATATATAGTGATTATGATTTGTCAAAAAACCAAACAAAAAATATTGTGTACAATGAAGTGTTTAATAATATATAAATTATTTTGTTTTCACTTTTATTTCCAAACATGTATACAACCGTATGGTTGTGTATTATTATAATTGTATGTGTTATGTTGTTAACTTACTCTCTTCATAAAGCGACGGATAGATCTTAAATCGGTTTTTACAAGTCATTTTGACCTTCAATTTGGGCGCAAAGATCCAGAAAAGAGGACGCCTGTTGGCACGTCCACACAAGACCTCTCTGTGCGAATTTCCGGCGAGCTCTAAGCCGGTCATTCCGACAGCTAAAAATAGGGTATTATTATAATTGTATATGTGTTATGTTGTTAACTTATATCTCACCTCATTATCTAACATAACAATAATCAATGAATATTATTTCCCGTGCATCGCACGGGGTATGCGCTAGTTCTCATTGAAAGTAATAATATCAAAAATTGAAAACCGAACTTTTACAATATACCTCAACAGAAATGACCTACATTACTGGACTAAAACTATAATTTTCTCTTTAACAATTAACTGCAAATTGACAACAACCATTTCATTAAACACAAATGAATACACCCCGTAATTTTATTACAGTGAAAATTAAAGAATAAACATAATGAACGTACACGCCGCAAGTGCTAGCAATCATGATCATGAGCATACCCCAATATATAAACACGACCTACGAAATCAATGTCAATAATGTACTAATAAACTTCCTAAAAAATGAGATATAAATCAAATTAAGTTATATATGTACAATAGCCACCATGCATGAATCTCCCCTTCATCCAGACCTAAAATAAACACAGCCGGAAAAGGGATTGAATTTTACTAATTTCCACATATATCAATCAACTAACTTAGAAAAATCAGAAAAACCAACGTACATATGTTGTTTAAACAAGTCTTGATCATCATCAGTAGCTCCACAAAGACTCCAAATCCGATATGTCTGGACTGAATCCGATTCCCTCGAGTTCTTCATCGCCAAATGCTGCCTTATTATCATCACTCTCAACGTCTCCCATTTTTTGAAATGATGTAATCTCGTTCGCCATATTTTCCGTGCTGAGTCCCGTTTCTTGTGATTGGCTGATATTGACCGAGTTGTTACTCGAAAAATGTTCCATTTTTTGCCTTAAATTTGGTTGATCACAGGCAGGTCTTATTATTGAGCTTTGACCTTGGAGTATTTGTGTCTGAAAAGGGAGAACTGAAGTTGGAAGGGCAATTTGGGAATAAAAGTTGGGATCAGTACTGGAAAATGGGTAATTGATGGGGAAGTTTTGAAGAAAGTTTATGGGGTCATTATGCAAATATTGTGAGTTTTGGTTGTTGATGAGTGGTCTTGATGAGGCAATAATATGCAGCGTTGATTGATCGTCTTCTGGTTTGCAATTTGGTCCTTGGTTAAGGGAGAAATTACTAGAGTTGTTGTAGTCCATCAAAGGCGGCAGCGTGGGGCTATCTAATAGATGATCTATGAATGAGTCCATTCTTGATATTTCTAACACTGCTGGGCCTCTTTTGATTCCTGTGTGCTTGTGAAAGACTCTACAAACAACGAACTCCTCCTGTCGATTCACATGGTAATTAAGATACAACCCATTACTGCATGTTTAAATACAAGTTTTTATTAAAAAAATTCAATCTCAAACTCAAATTTAATTCAATCTCACTATTTCAATATTATCAATATAACTAACTACTATCAATAAATTATTTTTACAAATCATATCAACTTTAATTCACTATTCATCCATTTACATATATAATATTAACCACTCATCCATTTCAATCACATATCTTCTACTTTTACATCAAATCAACTTTAATCGTTTTATTTTAGATGTTATTTTAATACGAGCTGAAAAGAGAAATTTGTAATTTTAGTCCAGTAACTTAAGCTGTTTCCCACTTTAGTCCAGTAACTTAAGTCGATCCAAAATTGGTCCAAAAACTTTCAAAATATAATTAAATTAGTCCAATTTCGGTCCCGACGCCGAAATCCGATCGGAACGGAATGTGCTGAGTTGGCAATTCGGATTTCGGCGACGGGGACCAGAATTGGACTAATTTAACTACATTTTGAAAGTTTTTGGACCAATTTTGGAACGACCCAAGTTATTGAACTAAAGTGGGAAACAACCTAAGTTACTGAACGAAACTTGCAATTTTCTCAGTTGAAAATTCAACTCAAAACTAACCCAACATACTTCACAAAATCAACTCTGGTTATTCATAAAAACTAATCAAAACCAAAAAGCTTATAAACGAGCAAGGGCTAGTATTTCTCATTAATAGTTCTTCAGGAAATAAAAAGAAAGACATGCTTGTACTATAAGATTCTAACATGAAAAGGATGCTTTTATTGCATTTAATTATAATCGGTACATATTAGAAGTCAATTTTAGGAACAAGGAAATGAAGTTCGTATTATATATTTTCGAGAAAGGTGAAAATTGTAAATTAATAATTAAAGCATGTATGTATGGTATTGGTACCTTTGCTGTCCTAGAGATGTTGTAGCTTGTGAAATTCCCCTCAAGCCTGTACTCATGCATCACCCAATTGGTCTTTTCACCTTTAGGAGCTCTCCCTTTGTAGAAAACAAGGGTTTTTTTCATGCCCACAAGGCAGTTTCCAGACTTGTAGAAAATCTCTTTGTCTTTGCCGGTCGCCTTCCAATAACCCGATTCTGTCGCTCTATTCGTTCTCATGCCTGTTGGGTACTTTCTGTCTCTTTGGAAAAAGAAGAACCATTCCTTTTCCCCCATCTTTGCCTTCTCTGCAAAAATCGTTCACTCCATATATAAATATCAACTTAATTTGCCCATTAATATATTATTTGAATTCTAAAATTTACTTTATGCACATAATTTGGTCCAAAGTTTATAAGATATGCACATAAACTTCTTTAGGTAACTTTTTAAATAAACTAGTTGAATTTTTTATTTCAGCTAGTTTATCGAGTAATTTTATCAAACTCTTTTATCATATAAACTAGTTTTCAACTATAAGCCATAAACTATAAGCTAAAAAATTACTGATAAGCTATAAGCTAGTTTTACCAAGCACAGCCATAGATTAAAATTAAACATCATTAGACCACGAAAAATATGGTTGAACTTGAAATCCTATTCGAGTATATATAAAATTGTTACTTACTTATTTATATATTTATTTGATTTTTTGTATAGCAGTTGATCTCAAAAAAAAAAAATAAAAAAAAAAATGAAAGAATAACAGAAGAAATTATAGAAAAGAATAGAAAAATTACTTGGTAAATCCCAGGGTTCGCACTTATTAAGATGAGCGTCAGCAATAGCCCTGGCAGTGAAGCGTCTATCGATGGCCTTATTGAGAAGATAGTGAATGATAATCTCCTCGTCAGTCGGATGAAATCTAAAACCCGGTGGAAGCTCTATTCCCGCCAACCCATCATCACAACTACTTTGTACTTTTTCTTCTTCCATATAAATTACTTACTTTCCAAGCTCTATATATGTATTTATGTGTGAATATAAATGGAAAGTCAGATGATGAAAATTAGTGAAGCAAATGAGAAAGAAGATGAAATAGGAAGGAGAGGGTGTTGTTATATAGAGAGATGAGAAAGAAAGGTATTGCGAAAGTTCCTTAGGGAGAAAGGAAGAAAAGAGTGGTGGGAAATGTATTATATTTGCTATTAAGGGACGAAAACCTCCCTTTAGACTTTTTCCTTAAATTATGTTCTCCCGAAATTTAGTGGAAATTGTGCATGAATTGTGCCTCAAGTTCATTACGGTTAAGCTATATATGACCTTGATTTCATTGTGGGCTAGCTACAGCTACACCTACACACATATTAATTTGGCTCGTGCTTCATCTCTCTTTCAATCTTTCTATGATTGGATTTTAACTGCTCTATTAATTTTTTTATATATTTTTTTTTTTTACTATGATATGAGAATACATTATACACCACACTATGATACCTGTTGTAATTTATATTCTCCAAGTTTAATCTAATTCTAGCTAGGCTGCCATCTGGCAGGATATGCGGCCTGACTTGCTAGCTGTTAGTCAATTTTTACAAGCGTTGGATAGGAGAAGAAAAAAATTCAGTCATAAGTGAACAAGAAATCACCTCATCCTAATCCTAATCACTAGTCAGATCGACGGAATATACATTTTTTTTTAAAAAAAAACAAAACATTTTTTATAATATAAAATTTCATATTTTTATTTATTTTATGTTTTAAGGTATAATATTTTGTTGAAATATGACTTGTGAGTTGTCCTCATTAATTCTATATGTAAAATGGATCTAGCTTTATGATTACTCTTCTCATCACTAATGGGTTTTGGAATGCAATCTCACTATGGTGCACCTAGGTCTACCTCTTATGATGTACTTCAACTGCGTGAGAACGCATTCTCTTGCCCCGATTCTCTAAATCTTACACATTTCAGTTGAAAAATATGTAAATTTCTTGAAAAATTATGAATGTCTAAGTGTTAGGTGTGTCTAACACTAGCCTTAATGAAATTGAATACAATACAAGAAAATAGTGACGAAATATGTTCTAATGAAATTTCAATGTAAATTTCAATGAATTAATATTCTAATGCTATAATTTTGGTTGGAATTTTTCAATGCATTGCAACCAAAATTTCAACAATTGGAATCATTCCAACGTGAATATTTTTATTCGAATTACAGTTGGAATTATTTCAATGAAAATTATATCATAGAAATATCCGTTGTAATTTTCATTGTAATATATAATTGTAAAATTTTCCGGAGGAAATTGACAATTTTCTTTTGTAATGATAATATATTAAAACTTGGACAAACACATCTCAACACAAGGAACCCTAGCTCAGCTTTTGCCAGCTTTGGAATCCTTCCAATATCTTGGATTTCGACCTAGCTAAGTCGAACCATCTCATAGCAAATTCCAATAAATCTTAGAAAGCGTGAGAATTATGTAAAACTTGAGTTATAAGTTCGTGGTAAAAATATGACATATGTTAGTAACTCTTCTTCTAATGTTTTGTTCTTTTTCTTTAATTTCCCCCTTCTTATATATATCTATATATATTTATTTATTGTTTTTTTTTTTGGTTGCTTAANGATTAGATGTGAATATTTTATAATGATCGCATTGACTTAGAAAGGCAATTTGAAAACTTTCGATATATAGCACCTTTCACGGCGTATTCAGAAAGCTTTTTAACTCGGGATTCCATATTATTGGAATCGAGTGGACGTGGTCATGACCTGGCCCGACTCAGACCAGCCCACCAGTTTGGCCCGAACCAACACAAATGGGCCCTTGGTTTTAAGTAGTCCGATTCATGTTCAATACTCTATATTTTATACGTTCCGATCCGATTGTTTCAGTTTTGAACTGAAATCAGAACGGGAGGTTCGACCTGTTAAAAAAATATTGTTATTAAATTATTTATTTTAATGAATCGGGGCGGCCAAGAACTGACAGTTCAATGAACTGGCTCATGCATATGTTCGAGCCAGTTCAGGGCCCTCCAACCCTCAGCCCGGGACTGACAATTTCAACTCGGAACCGATTTTGGCCATGATCAGAACATAATTATATGTTAACGCATTTCGGTTCGAATTGTGAAAACTCAATCTCGACTAGTTTATATATTTAAACAAGCCAAACTCAAATATCTAATCGAACTTGTCGATCAAACAAGTAGAGTCGAACATGTTTTGCAATCAAACTCGATAAGAGTTTTTTCATTGTCTGGAAATGAGGCCAAATTAATTAATGGAGGCGAATTCAACACAAAAACTAAACGAAAATGATTAACTAACGGTGCAATTAGCAAACCAAATAAAATAGCCCGCAGAAGAAGTGTGTGTCAAGCTTAATTATCTAGCTCATTTGGTACTTGTCAAGTCAACACATTAACAATTTAAAAGGCAAGAGAGTGTTGGGCCGCATTATAAATCTAATTAATAAATATCTAGTTAGGGCACAAATGTCATTGGACAATAAAGGATTGTCTTCCTTTCTGTCGATACTATCATCACTTATCCACAATTGTTATAAGATGAACAAATTCGACTTGAATCTTGAGTTATCCAGCCCAGAAATAAATGCGGCTAAATAAAAAATTACATAGGGTTATAAATAAAATTTTAAAAAATTTCAAGTTAGCAATTTTTTTATTTTTTAATTTTATGGACATGGGGATGGAGCCCACCCTAGCCAAAGGGTGGCTGCGCCCCCTAGCACAGTTCGCAATTTCAAATAGGCATGCTCAGTATTGAATAAACACCTATGCAAGCCGAAAGAAAGACTTTTTCTAGATCGAGATGGAACTTTGTAGCCAACTTAAGATGTGATTTTATATAAATTATAATCGATATTGACTGATTATTGTCGTTTTGGTTATTTCATATCCAATCATCTCTAACTTAAAATTCTTCTCAATCTAATTCTCATACTCTTTATAAATTCTAATAAAGTGCACGCGCGATGCACGTGATATATAATTTATATCTTAATGTTACTTTAAAGTATATTTTGTTTTTTATATTTTTTTGGTCTATTCAATTTCTTATATTATTATTTTAAATTGATCAAACACACGAAGTATATTACATAGACAGTCTCAAATATATTGAAAGTTGAAATACAATTTTAAAAATACTAATATTTAAAAACATAGAGAAAAATATTGCATAAAACGGTTGAGAAACTTTCATTATCTAAGTTAGTCATTTATTNAGATTTAAAAATATACACAGTAAACTACATTGAAATATTTTAAAAGAATAATTGCATGTGACATTTTACAATTTGGTCTTCTTATCTTGTTGAAGGAGACCATTCTTGGTTACTATTCTTATTGACTAAATAAAACAGTTATAATTCAATTGATATATGTTAGCAAGGTTTTTAAATATTTCATATTATCTTCTCTTTTCTAGGGATATAGTTTATTTATTTATTTTTTACGACTGGAGGTATCCCCACACTCACTCCGAGTGTAACGTCCCGAACAGTTATAATATAAGAACGATCTCACTCGCTCGACTATAGAGTGAGATCGGTATTTTCAGATTCCCGAGACATATTGGTTATGGGAATTTATATGCTTAAGTGCTTGTTACTTTTCAAGTATTCCAGTTCAAAGTTCGACTTTAATCGAATGTATTCTCGATGAAATTCTAGTCAGTAAGCGAACCAGTTTCAGAAATTAATTCCGGTCCGCTTATTTAAGAAAGGGACTTTATAAGTCGGAATTAATTAATTCAAGTTGACGATTAAATCGGAGTCGAGTATACTCCGATAATCGTCCAAGTAAGTCGTGACCGGAACGGAGTATGTCCGGTCACGAGCCTCGAAGCCCTAGTAGCTGCGTCCCATCAATTCTCGAGCCTTAGTAGTATAACACTTAGAATATCTCTAAGTGTTCTAATAGCCAAGACCAATCCATTAATTTGGATTTTCAAGTGATCACTATGCGGCCTAGAAGTTAAGTGGCCTCGAGCCCTAGTCTCGCTCCGAATATAGTCGAGTCTTAGTAGCATAATACTGTGAAATTTTTCTAAGTGTTGTGATGCACTAAGTCAAGCCCTAGAACCCAAGTCCCTCGACCATAGCATTTACCCAAGCCACTCGCGCCCAAGGGTCCTGAGCCGAGCCTAAGGCATAGCCGAGTCATGTCCTATGCTTGGTTGAGTATTGGGCATGTCCTTATAAATATTCTGAGTGTTCAAGCTTCAAAATTCAGCCTTGGTCCAAGTATCACGCGAGCAGCCAGAGCAGACCCCGTGCAGCCCAAACCTCGCGCCCAGTGCTGGGCCTGGGCGCCCAGGCCCAGCGCTGGCAGCGCACAAGTCCACTTCCGAGCCCAATTGGTGAAGTTTCAGCCCACTTCCACGGAGCCAAATTTTTGTGATTGCAACCAAATTAATAAGGAGTCTTTTCAGCCCATTTGGCCCTAGAGAATTATTAGTCAAAGTCAACTAGCCTTGGTCTTGAGTGGAACATAATTTTCTTAATTATTTAATGCTTTGGGTGAAGTCATGTCCCCCACTTCCTTAGGGAATTCCACCAGACACCTAGTACTCTTCAAAACCACCTAGAAGGCCACCAAAATCGTGCTTAGTGCTGGCCCATCAACCCCAAAGTCAACCCTTTCACCAATGAACTTAGAGGAGTGGGAAAGCTTTTGATTTTGTCCCCTTTTGACCAAGTTCTTGAGACCTCAGCCCCTTATGTCTATATAAGAAGTTTTCTTCTAACATTATAAGCTCTTTGATTCTTAAACACTCGTCCATATAGAGAGGAATAGATAACAAGGCCGAGTACCACCCTTAGCCACCACCACGCGCGCCCAAGGCTGAGAAGGGAGCTCACCGAGGTCCAACCATCTCCAAGCCATTTCTCTCGAGGCTTATCACTACCTAAGCATTTCTTGGATTTTTATAAGCCTTTAGGGTGCATCATTCCCAGCCATTAGCCATCCAAGTCGAGCCCTAGCCTCCAAGTTGCGAGCAAGCTCGAGCAAAGGTCACCAACACCATTTTCATTTTTCGGTGAAGGTTAGCTCGAGCAATCCTTTTTCCTCAGCTTATTCATGATATTTTAGGATTTATCATGAAGAAAAATCAAGCCATACATGTCATTATCTATGAGTTTTGATTTTTAGGATTTAAATGCCTTAATTTCGAATTTTTAGCTCCATGCATGGAGAAGCCGAGTTTGATGGCTCAATGTGCCTTATAAATCATGAGATTGATAGTGTATAAAATTGAGAATGTTTGGAGTTCGTTTGTTCGGTCAACTAGTTCATGAATTCATTCCATTTTGTACCCCCGAGCCTTATCCTTATGCATGCGAGAATATGCTATCATTTTAGCCTCATTTGTCATGTTTTATGTTGCTTAGTACTCGACCATGAT